GCGCGGCACCGCCCCTGGAGCTCCGCTGGGAGCCCTCGGGCAGGGTGTGGTGGGGAAACGCGTCTGCTGCTCCCGTACAGCCACTCCTCCCTCGCCGGGGCCCGGGGCCTCCATTCCCCCCTTCCCGGCTGTCCCTCTGGTCACCTTTGTCCCCATCCACGTCACCTCCTCCGCGAGCGCTTTGCTGTCTCCCTGCCTGGCTGATGTACTCGGACGCGACGCGACACTTCGGAAAATCCTTCTTCAAAACCACCGCCTGAGTGCGCACACAGGGGCCCCACAGCGTCCCGACACCGCCTTCCTCCCGCAAGTTCCGTCACCCGGGCCCTCAGCAGCACCCTGTCGGACTAGTCATGGTGTAACAGGGAGCGGCCCGGCCCCACAGGTTTAGGGCCACGGTGCCTCCTCACCCTGCACCCTGCGCAGGCTCCCGGCCTCTTCCAGCGCCAGCCTCACGGTGTTCAATGACAGGGACAGCCGCGTGCACCCGAGCAGGATCAGACGGGGGCACTCAGGGCGGTCACTCAGGGCTGGGTCCGCACAGGTTCACAGAGCTGAGTCCGAATCCTCTCACCCTACACCAGACCCAGGGCTGCTCTCGCGATAAATGGGCTCTCACGGCTTTAGTTGTTTCTAACTGCGCCCCAGGCACTCTCTCACCTAAGCCGAGAGCGGGGCAGGGAGAGCCAGGTCCGCAGCCTCGGGCAGGGAAGCTGGGAAGCTGTTGCTCAGGCCCTGCAAGCCTGCTGGGCAAGGCACTCATCATTTTTGCTTACGTCTTCCCGTGTAATCGTGAGTAGCAGGACCGCCCTCTCCAGGGTGGCAGGAAACAGTCAAAACAAAGGTTTTGAGGTCAGAACGACACAGGTAGTATTTCCCCAGTACTAACTGCATGACATTAGGAAGCCATCAGGAGATAGGGGGCGGATTACTGCTGTGGCAGGTTTACCCGGCATTCAGAGCCCTGGGTGTCCTGCGTCTTAGCCTCTCTCTGACGTTCCCTGTCCTCGCCCAGGTCAGCTCATGATCCCACCTGACACTCAGAACCTTTCGTGTTGCCCTCACCTGGAGGGCACTCGGACGCCCAGGTGGATTCAATGGCTGCCCAGAGGAAAGGAGGAACAGGGTCAGCCTGTTTGGCGGGAGCTGTCCGTGGTCCTCACCCGCCCGCCCCTGTGTCTCCTCTGTCCTGGATTCTCCGAGCCTGGGCGATTCCCTCACTGCTGACACTGGCGGAGACGCACACTTAAGCTGAGGCTCTGGACCACAGGGACTTCCCCAGTCTCTGTGGGCTGGAGAGGGTGGAGAGGACAGATTTCCACGGACGCTGTGCGGCGGCTAAGGGAGAAGGGGAGGAGAAAAGCCAGCTCCCAGCCCGCAACCTTGGTTCAGGTAAATGCGCATTGACTGACATCTTCCTGAATTCCAGGTGCTCTGCTCGGAGCCTGCGGCATAAAAATGAGTAAGCAACCGTTCCAGGCTAGTTTTGGTTGATCCCAGGTGTGACAGGACACACTCACAGGAAACATATGCTCACAAGTTGTTGGGAGAAGCACTAATGAGTCAGAGCACCAAAGAGAGGAGCAGAGCACCACTGAGCACCTACTGTGCGCCTGTATTCACAGTGACACCCTTCCCACTGTCCAAAAGATGGGAGCAGCCACGGGTCCATTGAGTGATATGCACCGGGACACTATTCAGCTTCGAAAGTGAGGGAATTCTGAAGTATGCTACAATGTGGACGGGCTTTGAAGGCCTTATACCAAGTAAAGCAGCCAGGCACAAAAAGACCCACTGACTCAGCTTATGGGAGGTACCTAGGGGTCAGAAGACAGGCAGGGAGTCGAAGACTGGTCCAGGGCTGGAGCAGGGAGGAGGAGAGGGAGCACGCAGAGGGGCAGAGTTTCCCTTTGGCCGGGTTCTGGAGGGGATGGAGGGATGCAGTGAGAGCTATGGGACTGTCCACCGAGAAGGGGTTACCAGGGCGAGCAACCAAGTTTAGCTAATTAACTAAATGCGGACGCTGCCCGGGGGAAAGAGCATCTAGTCTGAGT